TCCTTGTCGCGGCCGTACCACCTTTAAAGTCATGCATTAYTCACTYGTGGTTAATGGGTGCTGTCAGTTTTGGCGAAGTTAACAGCGAAACTGCCATATTTCCTAGGTAGCAAATCCAGATATCCAGCAGACCACATTTATCCGGAATTTTTAATCCGGATGAAATTTCKTAATTAATTCCTGATATGGAAAATCCGGCCCTGCGTGAAATACTTTTTTTAAACCAAAAAAACAATAATTTGAAAACCTCTAGAAAAAAGTATGTTGTTTACAACAATGATACAAACAACTTTTGGTTAGAGGCCATCTTTGATATCTCAACGGATATGAAAAGAAAAAATAAAAAATAAAATATAAAATATATTTGGATAAAAAATTATAGAATGAATTAAGCATCTCCCCTCTAAAGTTCTAAACCCCTTTATTTCCTATCTTAACCCCTTTGAACCTTTTCATGCCCCATCAAGCTTTTCATGAAATAGGACCAGAGTTATATTGTATTTTGCATGCGCAATATTACTTTTTTATTTTTATTTTTTTTTTTGGTTTTTTTTTGGTTTTTTTTTTTAGAGAAAACTATGGCGCAGTCACGGTTAGAGTTTGAAAATGCGTTCGAAACACCGTTTCGGCAGTCCAGTCAGGGCGCGGGTTTGAAATGAGGTCAAAACTCAGGTCCGCAGAATAGTCGGGCCGGGGAGTTCGACATTGCAGTCCAGTCGGGGCGGGGTGTTCGAAATCGCAGTCCATCAGGCACGAAGGAGGGCCCAGCATTCTACCCTGCCTCAGGGCTGGGGGATCGAGAAATGGCCCATGGCCCACTGTCTGCCCCTGGGTTGGCGCGTACCTGGAAACCCGTAGCGCGCACTCGTCGTTGTTTCGGTTCAAATTCGAATGAACGCATGAAGCTGGAGACCCTACCACATCCGTAGCTCGCAGTGTTCAGCGTGCAGCMACGACGAGCTCCCCCCTGCGAAGTGACGAGGTAASCCGCCGCCATCGCCACCCTCCCAACTCCACATCCTCCTCCTTRCCCTGTCGACCTGCCACCTTGGCTTCCTCCYKGTCCAACGGCACTATCCTGTTCGTCACTTTCTTCACTGGCATGTCGTCTGCCTCCCCCTCCCTTTTGTTCGTCACTTTCTTCACCTGGAGTGTCGTTTGTCTCGTCCTCGAAGTCTGCCTCCCCCTCCCTCCTGTTCGTCACTTTCTTCACCTGGCAGGTCGTTYGTCTCGTCCGCCACATCTGCCTCCCCCTCCCTCTTTCTCGTCGTCCTGTTCCTCCTCTCCTCGCACGTTGTCCACGGCCGTAAATCCTGTCGACGTCGCACCAGCACTTCTCCCTCCTCCCCTCCTGTCGTCGTCATGATGGGAGGCGCCGAGGAGGCTGTATTGTTTCATTTTTTTTTTTTGTTGGGGCAACTATGCCGCAGGAACATTTTCGGTATACATTCAAAATTGGGTTGTATACATTCACGATTTTCAGTTCAATCAGGGACGACCATATTCTCAGTATTAGGCTCATCAATCAATCAATCAATCAATCAATCAATCAATCAATCAATCAATCAGGGACGACCATATTCTCAGTATTCGGCAAACCTCCTCAAGGTAGGACATGGACAGAACGAGAAGGAGGTTTCACGTGGAGACGGCGAATAGGAGGAGGACGAGACGGGAAATGCACATTCCGTTTAATCCGGAACGCGACCCTGTGTTTTTTTT